TGAATAAAGTCACCCAGTCGCTAGCTGTGCCATTACCCAGCATACACCACTCCCTCCATAAATGCAATAAACGATACAAAAGTAATAGCCTATAATTAATTTATCTGCTGTATCTGCTGTTTCTCAGGTAGTTGTTTAATTATATAATTTATTGTGTTCTGTATACGTCACTACAATGTGATTTTGGAAATATATAAATATAGGGACAACAGGCTCTTCCGTGGAAATCTCTTGTCGTCAATAAGCAACGTTTAGGGAGCTCTATAGTATTCAATGAGAGGACCCTGCACGTCAATTCTCGACGCGAGGGGGGTACTCTGCGCATCGATAAGTGAAGCAGAGGGAGCCTGACCATGCATCACACATTTGACGAGTTGGGAGTGAGAACGTGTTGGCCTTTACTGTCCAGTATAAACTCTTAATAGCATGACTGTGACTTAAGTTTGAAAATAATCCTTCATCTTCTCCAGTCCTCACTTTCTTCCATCTTCCATCTCTGCCAGTGAAGTTTTCACACATTAAGTTTTTTACTTCTCACTAAACTGTATCTTTGGCTAACAGACAGAATGTGCGTCAATCTGCAAATTGTTTTTATGTTTGGTGATATTTTTGAAATCCTTTTAAATTATCTGCCACAAAAAATTCCTGCAAATATAGCATCCTATTCTGTGGAACTAGCTAGATGCTTCAATATTGTGATTGCAACTTAACTGACAGCTGCAGCATGGATGTATGACAGTGTTGAGAAGGAGAAATACAGGCAGGGGCCAGTGGGACCCCCTCAGCCTCCTAGTAGATACACCTGTGGTATTGTTATGACCCAGAGCTAAACATATCACACACACACCACTGCTTTACCTGGATCAATATCAAAGTATGACGTGTCCAAGTCTGCATGGCAGGGTGACCACAATACTACATCAGGCTTTTATGGCTGGGTGGCCAAGGGGTGACTTAACTGTGTCTGTGACATAACCAACAACAGCTTTCAGCTGGCTTATCTAAACGTGGTGTGCAGTGTGACCATACAATACTGGACAAGTGGAGAACAAGGGAAGATGTTGCATTAGTCAGAAACTACAGCAGATGAACAGTTTCTGAAAGTCATGTCAGTAAGAAACAGGAAAACATCCAATAAACTTGACACAGGACCTGAGAGACGCAATTGACTCTGCAGTTGATCCATTTACTGTTTGATCAGATGAAGTGGTCCCAGTGGAAGAGTGTCATGGTCTTGGGTCATGGACTCAGAGGTTTGAGTTTTAGGACTTAGAATTCTTGTTTATGTTTACTTTTATTTTTCTTTGTTTCTCCTCCAGTATTTTAAAAAGTACAGATTACCTCTTCTTCTCGGAATTTTTGGTATTTTCCTTTTGAATTTATGGACTTTGATTTGTAGACCTTCAGCCACTTGGAATAAAGCTAGTTTTCAGTTTAATCTGTTGCCTGTTTCTGCTCATGTATTTGGGTTATTTTCCATGCAAAGTATGAGAATGGGAAGCTGTCAAGAAGCACTTCTTAAGGAAGGGAAACAGGGAGGAAATGCTGCCAAATTACACAAGAACTGGACTGAGAATCAGAGACAACTGATGTTGGGGTTAGGGTATATTGCAACAATATATTGGAAGAGAACAGTGTGGTGGCCCACCAGAGGCTCCATTCACACCCAGGTTGGGAGGAGGGGTTCTGCTGGTTTTTGGCGCAATGTGTCCAGTTGTAGTTTGGAGATGAATAAAGTCGGAATGGAGAGTTATAGCTCCTGTTTTGCCTGTACCATTTCTCCACAACAGAAGAAAAGGAAGTAAAGGAAGTTGTGCTTTGAATCATTCATCAAGAAGCCTGGCGAAGTAAGTTGAAGAAAGTTGCCAAAGAGAGTTCAGTTCCACATGGAAACATTTCTCCCACTAAAAATGCTACGTCCTGATGAACAGAATCAAACTTCGGAGATTTACTTACCTTGATGGCTGAGCATGCATCAAGATATCTTTTGTCGTACTTCCTGTATTTTCCTGCTGCACTCTGAGCTCACTGCTACTGCTGTCATTCACTCAGATTTAACTCTGGGTTATTGGCTAGCTTAGCGTTAGCATGCTGTCTGTGCTGAATCTTCCAAGGAGTCAAAGTTTTGTTAGCAGCACAATGCAGTTGTTTCTGTCCTAGGTCCAGTTTCCACTTTAACATCACGCCCTTGGCCTTTTGTGTAATAAAATATAAATATAATGTCCATGTCCACGCTGTAGACTGTGCCATTATTATTCCAAGGAACTGAATTACTGCAAACCAGTTCTCTACGAGAACCATTTCTCTTCAGAAAAGTAAACAGCTTTTCTGAAGAGTCAACAGCTGTCCGAGCTGTTTAAGAGTCATACGTAGGACCTCCAGTGACTTCATGCTAAATCCACACTGACTGCTTCATCAGCCCAGGACTTTTACATTTTTACATGATGTTATGTATAATTTATACCCATTATACCAAGATTTGGGCAGTGTTGTTGACAAAAGGTGAATTGTATGATTGTTAATCAAATTGCTTTTGAACCTTGGGTCAAATATAACTTCAGCAGGTGGAAGAGCATCTGCTACGAAATATTCACATTATCACCAAAGTGTGAACTGTGACAGGAACATTCAATCATTGCTGTAAAAGAGACACAGGAACAGGGAGAAAATACAAACAGCTCAGAGAAATCCAACAGCTGCTAAATAGTTTGAACCAGTAACCAAGTGAATTTTGGTTGGTCAATGAATGCTGAACATCCTTATAACTGTCCCTGTGACAGTTAAAATAAAGTTGTTAGTTTTATATGTTTCTGTAATAGATTCATGTTTAATTCAGTTCATTTATTTGTTTTTATTTTGGGATAAAAATCTCTTGGATAAGATAATAAAAAGTATAGCATTGATTAAAAAACTTGTCTGAAATATGGGATTACAAAATAAGGGTTTGTTAAAGTTGTAAAGTGCTGTAAAGTTTGTTTGAGGTAGACTTTGTAATGGTCACATGACCAGAGTTTGGCTGAGAGCACAACCAATGCATTTTGGGTCAGAACTAGCATGGGGACAGAGCTAGAGATGCGGCTACAGCCACAACATTTAATGTTATTCTGCATGCGGTCCAAGAGGTGCACACGGCAATGGTTTTCATGTATATTGTTTATGTAATGTTGTATACATGTTCTACATTGGTAATAAGAGGACATTTTCAGTAATATCCATTACATTGCATTTTTCCTGTTTTGCTAGCTCAAGACTGTTTATGGACACTAACATAAGAGACTTTGATAAGATCAAACATATTTACGTGATAAACTTTGTGTTTTCTTCAGTTTTCATGTGTCTGAAGAAAATAAGAGAGAGAGAGAGAGAGAGAGAGAGAGAGAGAGAGAGAGAGAGAGGAATAAACTTCCAAAGACATCAGTATGATGTATGGCCATTGTTTGTTGGACCCCTGTAGTTACCATCCTCATTAAATATAAACAGTTGAAGAAAGTTTCACAATTTAAATTTTTTTTCAACAAATATCATGTATACAATTATGTTGTTTTAATGACATTTAGCATTTATCCTAAGTTCACAAAGCATATATGCACACTTCCTCCACCAGATATCAATGTTAAACATAAGTTCATTACAATTTTTAACACTTGCAGAAATGAATCTTCATTCTTTTGCAGACAGTTTGACTAAATCTGAAAATAACCTTTCATGAAATATAGATAGTAAAGTTGTCACTGGTTCATTTGTTACTGAACTAATCAAAGCACAGGCTGATCTTTGTCTAACAATTACCCAGAAAATATTCATGAAAATGTCTGAACTCAAATTGAAGTATGGTATGTCTTTAATATCAAATGGCATCATCATCATGGCCTTCCTCACTGTTTCTGATACACATTTGGGTGTGATGCTCTTTTAAACACCCCCTGGTCCTAAACTATTGCGGATAAAATGAAATAAATATCAAATTAAATGATGAATAGAAATATTTACAGCATGAATTCCTTACTAAGTTGGTAGGTTGTCACAGCAGAGCTGTGCTTGCATAAATATGTAATTGAGTAAGATTGTAACTTCGGATCAGACATTTGATAAGACTGGTTTCAGACACCTATTTTTAGCTGTCATCAACAAGTATCACTGAGGCTGGAACAAACTGTCAGCGGTTAAAACCTCTGAGGAAGGTATGAAATGTTTACTTCCTCTTCATGTGCTTTACCCTCGTATTATATCTCTTTATCTCTGTTGATGCAAATTCTGAGCCCATGGATTTCTGTTCACCAGTCTAGTCAAACAAAGAGGAAAAATATAGTATTCGCAATTTTGTAGGTTACATTCAAATGTTTTATTTGTGAATACGCTGTTTGGGAAAACAAATTTTCTGTTTGGGACTGGCAGAGAAAAAAGAGAAACAGATGCTCCTGAGGTACTTGGTTTAGAAAGAAGCTTTAAATAAGCTGCACATTTGCATGGTTCAGATTAAAGTGTTTTCAGTGTGGGAAAATACTTGATGTACTGAGCTACATCACACACTGAGGTTTCTGTGGTTATTTTGCAGCTGAGTGCCAGAAATATCAATCAGAGGATCTAATGTCTTCTAATCTGTGTAACTGTGGTTTAACAACAACATCACATCAGTTTGAGACTGCAGGTGGAACAAATACCTGCAGCCTTCAGACGACTGCAGAGACCTGCAACTATTAAGAAGTAACCTTCACGTTAGCTTTCTAACTTTTGTGGATTACAGAACTGGTAAGAATACTAATTAATTTTTATTCCATCTGCCTCAGTAAAATGAATCTTCAAATATTAGCTTCATTTGTCATGGTCATCCATATTACAAAACCTTTTTAAAATTAAAAAAACATACTGTACAGATAAGTCGTCCATGTACAAGTTTAGGAAACATATGAAACATTTGCTGTGTAAAAAAAACTCATTTTATTTGAGCAATTTCTGAATTCTAGATGTGTAAGAACAATTTGTGAACACATTAGTATTTTGCGGTCAGGAGTTTAAGCAGGTTGTAGCTGCAGCTGTTTTCATGGATTTTCATGGATTCTGGGTAGACCACAGACTGAGCTTTTCTGTCACTGATGACTCATTTTAGAGAGAACACATTTTGAGTCTCAGCCATGTGGACACAACAGAGAAACTTCTTCTATTTGACCATCGGTGAGATGAACTTTACATCAATGAATTATTTTCTTTCTTTGCTATACTAACGATGGGCATAACTTTGTGCTGAACATTGGGGAGGCCGTGTCAAGATCTCTGTCTAAATAAATTAATCTGGGTAAATTCTCAGATGATTAAACATGGAACTATGTAGCTGAAACGACTAAAGAAAATGAACAGCCTATTTATGCAAGATAGTTCATAATTTTATTTGGGGTGGGGGGTGGGGGTGGTGGTGGGGGGGGGGGTTGTATTGGCTGGGTCCCCAACCCCCCTGGAAATCAGCGTTCAGTTCCTTAAAGGTTTTCTGTTATTTATTGCATCCAAATTAGAAACAAGAACAGCTCATTATTTCAGCATAATAAGTTGTATTTTCTTTTCTACAGTCTCGTATCTGTTTGCATCTTCAGCATCTGCAGGTCAGTCATGAACAGCATCAGACTCACAAATGTTTTGCCAACCACCAGATAAAACAGTTTTGCTACATTAAATTACATTAAATCCACGTTTTCCCTCTTTTGTTCTTTTGATACATGCAATGCTTTATTTTTATCTATTCTTTTATTAGATTAGATCTTTTATTAGTTTCTTTGAATAAGTGAATGAATTGTTTAAAATATAAACCAACAGTACTAATGATCATTTGAAAATTTGTTTTAATAGGTACACATTAACCTATATGTGTGTGTGTGTGTGTGTGTGTGTGTGTGTGTGTGTTCAAGGAATGAAGGATTGCTTTAAAAGCAGCATTTTGCATTTTAATGTAGATGAAATAATTATAAACTAAGAAACTTTGTTTGGATCAGAACTCATAGGAAAAAAACGAACTCTGCACTATCCGTTGTACAGCAGCAGTGTGTGACCATGTTATTCCGTATTATTATCGTTTTTATGTACATAGAAATATTTTTTACTTAGTATGAAAATCAAATGTAAAAAACATTTAATGAAAACTTAAACTTACTACAATAACTCTTTTCAGGATTATCCATGTCAACTGGAAAAGTAAAATGTAAAACAATTGTAGCACATTTATTTGGTTTATAATATTAGGCCATATTTATCTGTTTGCAAGTCATTTAGCTCCTATTTTAGCACCATCACATTGCACAATAATGACTGCCATGTATTTTTACAAGCTTCTATCATGAATCATGTTTTAATAGTGTTGAAATTAAACTTATTGCTACATTTCAGAGAGCATCTTATTTTGAAGGTTTCAGGCAATGCAGTCTACAGTTATTCAATCTCTTTTTACATTGAATTAAAAATCATATTTTTAATAAATCAAGGATTTTGAAATAATTAAGTTTTAAAATAGTTTCTGTAACATTTAGATTATGTTGCCAGTAATTTAGTTTTTTTAAAGCTCAAAGACATTTTTCTTCGTGAAATATGAATGCTGCACACTGCGGCTGTTTTATATTTTTTTGTTATATTTTTTTTATTGTCTTCTTTTTTTTCTTTTTATAAGTGAATTTGCTTATTTATCACATTTTTGCCACATGCATTAGTTGTGGGTTTCAGTTATCAATTTCAGATTAAAATCGAATTTAGCTTGAATAATGCGATATCGATTCATTAAATCCTGAATCGAATGTGTGTGTATATCTATCTATCTATAGATATATATAGATATAGAAAGATAGATATATATCTATATCTCTCTATAGAGATATCTCTCTATAGCAAGAAACACCAGAATCTCATATTAAAGCTTTCATTCCAACAACCAACAAACAGCTAAAACAACAATTGAGAGCAGGTTAACGATTCTGTCAGCGGTGTGTGGAGGCGAGGAGGAAGGAACCGAAACGTAGGACTCGCAGGTAGGTGAAGACTGGTGAAGGTTTATTATAAGGAGTGGATGAACAGAACAGAGGTAGAAAATGGCTGGCTG